TTCAATTAGGGCACAAACAAGATTAATTTTTCCTCACAAATTGATGTCGATGGTCTGCTGCTGTAGGCTTCATCTTCAACATTGTCTTGTCTCTTCTTAAGACAAGTTATCCATTTGTAAACTGATTTCTTTGGGGCACTGTCTCCATAAACTTTTCATAAAGCATCAGTGATTTCACCATTCTTCCACCCAAGCTTTACCATCTGTTTGTTCTTGCTTCAATTTTAGCAGAATTCATGTTGCTCTGATAGAGACCCTTCAAATTTATCCTTCTTAGTGCCTCAAACTAAACCCTGTTCAGACATGTTATAACAAGCTAGTATGAGTTTATTTTGGTGCAAAAAAATTTGAAATCCATGCAGTTTTTTTCATAATATCCATTTCCCATGAACTTTTTGGTGACCCCTAGTATGCAGGTCAATTTCTGGACTTTCTATCATGCCTTGTCAATCTAGATCTATCCTCAAGCCAATACCACATAGTCCTTTTTAGTGCAGTTCTATAGTAAGCTTTGAAATTAGACAGTGTTAAGCCCTCCAACTTTGTTCTTTTTAAAATTTTGTTTTGGTTTTTCTAGGTTCTTTGCATTTCCATATAAATTCTTCATTAGTTTGTCAACTGCCACACAAATGCCTGTGAATCTAAAGACTAATTTGGGGAGAACTGTGATCTTAAAAATACTGAGTTTTCCCATACTTGATCATGGCATATTTTTCCACTGATTAAGTGTTTATTATGTATTATTTATTATGTGTTCTTTAATTTCTTTCAGCAATGTTTTATAGTTTTCATTGTACATATTGGGTGTGTTTCATTAAATTTGTCTACATATTTCCCATTTTTGTATGATTGTAAATGAAATTGTATTTATCATTTCATTTCCTAATTATTCACTGCTTATACAAAGAAATGAAATTGATTTTTATATACTGACCTTGTACCCTGTGATCTTGCTAAATTCCCTTATTAAGGTTCTAGTAGCTTATTTCGTATATATGAGCTTTTGAAGAGAAAAAAATCCCATCACTGAAGATATTGTTTTCCTAATTCTAGACATATTATTTGAGGAGACTTTGGCAAGAATAGAAAAGTATAAAAAAATAGAAAAGCAAATTCCAATTCTCCCAATAAGTTAACTGCTATTAATCTTTTGACAAATTTCCTTAGTTTTAAGCAACATTAATTTTTCACAATGCATTTATTTCTACGTATTTGAGCTTACTCAACAATTATTTATCATGCTTTTTTCATAACAGCACAGACATTTTCCTGATATGAAACTTTCTGTGTAATTTTCATATATGCATAATATTCCATTACATGTATATACCATAACCATTATGCTATTGTACATTTTCTATTTAACAAATTGTGCAGTATTAATGATTCAGTGATCACCCACAGACATATATATGTCCACATCACAGGTTAGGGCTTAGGGTGTTAAAAACAGTAATAGCGGGCCGGCCCGGTGGCGCACTGGATGGTGCGCCGCTTGGGAAGCGCGGCGGCGCTCCCGTCCGAGGGTTCGGATCCCACGTACAGACCGGCTCCCGCTCACTGGCTGAGCGAGGCGCGGGAGCAACGCCGAGGCTTGCGATCCCGTTGCCGGTCCCCGGTCCGGTACGGGGGCAACACTGAGGGTTGCGATCCGTTGCCGGACACGGAAAAAAGACAAAAAGACAAAAAAAAAAAAAAAAAACAGTAATAGCATCATTAATAGCTCACACATATAGCACCTACTATGTGCCAGGCACTGTTTTATACACATCATCTCACTTCATACACATAACAACTCTGAGGTAGATACTAGTACCATCCTCATTACACAGTTG